AGTAGTTCATACTCCATCCGGTTCAGGGTTGAGGCATATATTAAGAGAGCTTTGGCTCTGCTGAATCATTTCGAGGGAGGGGAATGTTCACCTTTATTCCTTTCTCATGTTAGCTTCATACAATGACTTGTTTTCCTTTTATGACCTTAAATTATGAGTAATGCTATTTGATTGAATGTTAACTTATTTGTTTATATTTTCTTTATTTGTTTGTATACTAATACTGGACTTTTTTTATGACTATTAACTTTGTTATAATGTTCATAATTAATTTCTCAACTTATTGAAATACAAAGTCAATATTGCTTTTATTGGGGATTGAACTCATGATTGTTATTTGGGAGTTACTTTGTGTCACTGGATCACAAGGTCATTGGTGCTAATACTGAAGTTAGTATTGTAAAAAATTAAATTAAAAGTAACTTCAATCAAGTCTCGTTGATTGAATTAGACATAATAAAATGAGACAGATTGAAGTATTTTTTAATAGGATTTGAAAATGGTTAATACTAAAAAGTAAATACATGTGGTTGCAAAAAAATTACAATTGTAATAATGATAATTAATTGTGTTAATGAATTAAGTGTAATTTTGCTTACACAAAATTGAATTATCGGAAACTTCTTGTTTATTAGCAAATAATGCCTAATTGCATGTATGTTTTAATCACACAAATTCCAGAATTTTTGTGGTTTATTTAATTTTTTTTAACTTTTTTATTTTATTTTTTATTTTTGATATATATATATATATGATATGATATGATGAGATAGAATATATATTCAGAGTGGACAGTTCTCTTATGTGCAATGATATTACACGCATTGTGCACGAAGCATACACGTAAATATTGAGCCATTGAATTTTCGTGATTTACATCTTTCTAAATGTTTTGTTGGGTCAGGTGTGAAGGGGCCTTTTGGGAGAAGATTAAACCTTTTGGGAGGAATATATCAAAATTGCAAAATAAAAATAATGATGTAAATATTGAGATGTATTACCTCTAATTTTCTAAAAATTGAATCGATTAATTAATTAATTAATGTTGTCTTAGTGTTTTACATTGATTCTTTTTTTTTTTGTTGTCCAAAGGTATCCCTCCAGCCGAAAGGCAGAAGACTAATTCTCCGTCCCTACGGTCAGCACACTAAGTGGTAGGGGACTGGCCAAATGGTTTGCTCCATTCACATGGGTGGGGATCAAACCCCCAACCTCATGTTTAAGGGACAAGGTGCTGAACCACCACGCCAACCATGTTGGTTGGCATTGATTCTATTATATGAGTTAATTACTTAATTAGCTCTTTTATTAGTTAGCGTATAGTTGTATCGAATGATATTATCACAAGTTAATTAGTACTAGTTTCATTAATTTTTTTCTCAAATTACTTAATTTTACCTGATTAATTAGTGATGATAATTCAACAATACTTTGAATTATAGGAAAGATGATACTTTTCATCTTTTTATCTTAATTTGTTTGTGAAATTGCATTTTAAAAAAAAAAAAACTATTCCTAATAGAAAAAAATCACTCTGCTGATAATTGAGATATAAAAAGTATGTAGTAGTAAAAATATAATTGAAGTGCAAAAAGTGTTAATTTCATATAAATTAAAAGATAAAAATGTATTTTTTCTTTATAATATTACCCAATGTAAAATAGTGTTATGAAGATTTATTTTTACGAATATGACCATGCTATATATTCTACAATGCAAAAAAAATTCATTTAACAAATAATTGAGATACAAAAAATGTTACTTTCCCTATAATTTATAGACGAAAAATATAACATTTCCATTATAATATTTCTCGATCCAAATACGACTTGACAAGACAAATTACATCAATTACTTTATGTAGTCGATGTTGTCTTTACGTCACACATGTTGAGTGTAAGTATGACCATGTGAGACATACTACGTCACACATGTTGAGTGTAAGTATGACCATGTGAGACATACTACGTATTTCTCTTCTATGTATTACTTAATTATTAGTTTTACGATATGATTTTTAATTTAATCAATACAAATCAAATGACAATAATATATACTCCGTATTCTACTATTAATAAGTTAGGGTGTATCTAAAAAAGAATATATATTGATCTTATTTTGCAGGATATTAGAAACCTTGTTAGTAGTCTAGTCGACATTAGCTTTGTATTTACGAAACGATCTGCGAACAGGGCTGCCCAAGGGAGGCCTTGATCATAGCCGATCGTAGGGAGTGGTGGACTGTTCCCCCTGCTTCCCTTCTTGATGTTCTTGCTTCTGATGCTTAATTAAATGGTTGTTATTATTCTAAAAAAAAAGAATATATATATTTGTTTTCTCTGATGGAATTCAGAAAAAAAGAAAACTTACGTAATTCTCGTCGTCTCTCGTCGTCGATTTTTCTCTTTGTTTTCTCTGATGGAGCAGCAAATTAAGCTTTTTGTAGGAGGACTGTCACACTACACTAACGAACAAACCCTAAGGGATTACTTTAGTAAATATGGAGAGATCAGAAGCTCCGAGACCATTAGAGACCGAATCACTGGTTTGACAGAGGTTTTGGTTTTATCGTGTTCGCAGACAACTCTATTGTTGAACATGCCTTGAGTGATATCCATGTCATCCTCGGAAAAAAAGGTTATTATTATTTGCGTTTTCTGATTTAATTTTTTCACAATTTAACTTGATAGGATTTTTTATTTTTATTTTTTTGTCTTTAGTTTATCATTAGATTGTTGCTATACTTGAAGTGCAATCAATTCATATACACATATTTTTTGTGACAAAAAAAGGTGGAATAATCTTCCATTCCAGCACCCCACATCCTAGTCTCTGAATACCTTCGCCAACCTTGCTAAGCTCCATACAATGTATTTTAATTTTTAATGCTAGATATAGATTGAATATTATTGAATTGTAAAAGTTGTGTTTGAGCGTCTGAGATTATATTCCTAATATGTGATTGATTTAGGTCTTAAATTATGCGTTAGATTTATTTTATCTCGCTTTAATTCGCATAATTTTTTCTCTAGGGTTAAAAAAAAACCCTAATTTTTAGAAACCCTAATTTTAAAAACCCTAATAATATAATGCTATCTCTAGCTCAATTGGTTTGTTTTATGTTTTTATTATTTATAACGTTAAAAATATTTGGTTAATAATTTGTAGTTTCTACAATATAATGTTGTCGTAGGTGGAAGTGAAGGTGGCTAAACCCAAGGGTTCGAGAGAAGTTGTGTTGGAGACTCGTGTTAATAAGATTTTTGTAGGGGGTGTACCGCCAGACGCCACAGACGAGGAATTGAAGCAACATTTTGAGAAATTTGGTACTGTGGAACATGCCGAGATTAGACGTCCGAGGGGGTTTGGGTTTGTCACCTTTGAATCCGAGGAAGCTGCGAAAACTGCACTGAGAAACCGTTTTCAGCATATGAAGAATAAGATGGTGGAGGTCAAGGTTGCAGAGGTTAAGCCAAAAGTTGGCCTCAATAATGGTATGACGAATTCCCTCCCCCTAACTTGTGGTGGTAACATGACTTTCCCAATTTTCCCTACTACTACTAACTACCCTTATGGTAACCCGTACTCGGTAAACTATGTTCCTTATTATATCCCAGTGCCTACCAGTGTATTTTGTCTCCCAGTGCCTACCAGTGAATTTTGTTATAATAGTTATTTTCCTAGCTACTACAATGGTGAGAATTGGCAACATTTAAATAACCCTAACCCACTTCTTGTTACCGGACCACCCCTTGCCAATAGCCAACCTGTTGTTATCGGACCACCTCCTAGCCGACCTATTGTCATCCGACCACCTCCTAGTCGACCTGTTGTCATCCGACCACCCCCTGTAAAAGTAGAAGAACAAAATGTCAATGTGGCTGAAGAAATTGATGAAATACAAGATGAAATTGATGGCGAAAGTGTTACTAATGGTGAAGTGCAAACCCAAGATGAAATTGATGGGGAACTTCTTACCAAGGCTGCTGTAAGCGCTGGTGATTCCTTTTAAAGGAATGTATGTTTTTTTATTTTTATTTTTTATATTTTTTAGGGGAAGGAATGCATGTTTTAGTTGTTATAATATTGTGTTGGATTTGTGAACCAATGGCCGGAAATCTATGCATGATTCCTTTCAAGACAATTGCTTTAGGTGTTATAATATCGTGTTATATTGTTTGGATTTTCCGTTTGCATTGTTGCTGATTTGTTGAATTCACCTGTGGTTGAATCATATCAATGGACTTGTAGATCAGAAGAGCTCATGCATGATCGTGTTATATTGTAAAATTAAAGAATCAAAATAAATTTTTAGTTGTTATAATATTGTTTTATCATCACACCCTTAATTTTCATGAAAGAAAACATAAAAAATATTCTCGTATGGGTGCATCATCACACTAATGAGTTCTGAGTTAGACCTTTTGCTGAGTAAAAGTTAACATTAGCGGCGTGTATGTTTCGTGCACAGTGCATGCAATATCGGTGCATTATTATTACAAAATAAATACTTTTTACGTGCAAAATAGAGAAAATTTTAATTTTGGTCACACGACTATAGGGGCTTTGGTAATTTTAATACCTAACTTTTAAAAGTGTCAATTTAGTACCTTGAGTATGTAAATTTTGTTAATTTAAGTCACTCCGGCCAAATTTGGCCGGAAAAAATTAATCCAACATTTAGTTTTAAATCTGAGGGGCAAAATCGTCTTTTTTATCCTTTCTCCTAATTAAGTTGATCGAATTAAGTTGTTGACCCGGTTCAGCAACAAAGACTCCTTCGTTGAGCGAGATAATTCATTCGAATAACAACAACCTCCTCATGTTTTGCAAAGATTGGTGTTTGTTATTTTTCCAGTTTAAAGTTTGATGATCTTAACGGCCTTCACGACTGGATTCTCTCCGGCGATCGCCTCTCGGCGAGCAGTTTTGTAGTCGTAGCTGCAGTCGTGTCGGTTAGAGTACCGATGTTCGTCGCAGAAAAGCTCGTCGCAACAGCATCAGAATCCGGTCAATCCTACCTTTCTCCGGCAACCAGAACACCGGCTCACACCTCTCCTAGGCGGAACTGGCGAACTATCGACCTTGGCTTCATCATCGCCTACTAACCTCCAATCCTCTCGCGTTGTTTCCGACGATGACCTCCGAATGATAGATCTAGGAGATTTGTCGGAGAATTTATGAGGAATTGTCGCCGTTGAGGCGGAAACGGAGGTGGAGACGGCGTTGAAGCATTTCTGGCAGAGATTGTTGGTGGCAGGGTTTCCGGTAACGCCGCAGTTGTTAACGCACGACGCAATGTTAAGGAAAGCTTCTTCAAACAATAGGAGTCTTTGTCACTGAACTGGGTCAACAGCTTAATTAGGAGAAAGGATGGAAAAGACGATTTTGCCCCTCAGATTTAAAACTAAATGTTAGATTAAATTTTTCCGGTCAAATTTGACCGGAATGATAAAAATTGATAAAAATTACATACTCAAAATACTAAATTGATACTTTTAAAAGTTAGGTGTTGAAATTAACAAAACCTTAGTCGTGTGATCAAAATTGAATTTTCTCTGCAAAATATTACCTATATAACGACCGGGGAGCAGTTGCAATTTCCCTCCAAAAAAGTTCTCTCGAAAAGCTTTAAACAGAACACAATAAACTCCCGCGAAAGCCATTTCCGATTTCTCCATCATCGCTGAAGAATTCTGCAACCTGCAAATCGTTGAAGATCAAACGCGATGAGTTCCGGTTCGCGGCCAACCAGGAGCGAATTACTCGAGGCGCACGAGTACTGGAAGTGCAACATTCCAATTCTGTACGATTTTATCTACGGTCACAACCTGAAGTCGCCGTCGCTCACCGTCGAATGGCTCCCCGGCGTGGAGATTCCGGAGGGGGAGCTTTATAGAGTCCAGAAACTGATCCTCGGAACTCGCGCGGCAGGGAATGAGCAGAACAGGCTTTTGCTGTTTCAGGTTAAGCTGCCTAACTACGATGACGAAGGCGAACCTAGATCTTCTGTTGGGAATGGGAAGGTACATAGTGAATTGTATTCTTCTGTGATTTTTATGTTCTTTATTGCAATTGTTTTTCTTTTGTTTTGATCTGATTATGTTGTTCTAAGAAAGCTGCAAAATATGTTGAGATTGATCAAATCTTATTTGCATAATTGAATCAGTGTCCTTACAATCTCGATCATTTTCCATTTTTCCCCTTTCCTTCAATTCTCACTGGCATAAATCAGTGTAAGGCCAATCTGTATGAGATACAAATTTCTTCTGTAGTTTTGTTTTGAAACTTCAGAAAACATATACTCTGTACTTAATTATCTTCAACTTCAAATGTAAACATTTATAGTAGTTTTGTTTTGAGACTTCATTTTCCTTTAGTATCTTTTCTTGCCTATTTTACAAATTTATAGCTATTTCAGGTAATGACCCTATCCATGGAACAATAAATATTTCTGTTGCAGTTAAAAAGAGTGCAGCAAATAAATCATGATGGGGTAGTTAACCGGGCTCGTTACATGCCACAAAACCCAAGTATTATTGCTACCAAGACAGACAGTACTGAGGTTTTCATTTTTGATTGTACCAAACATCCATCAAATCCTCCCAGGAAGGGTGTTTGCAACCCTGATTTGAGGTTAACTGGTCACAAAGGTAAAGGGCATGCCTTGTCCTGGAGTCCATTTCAGCAGGGTCATTTGTTAAGTGGCTCAGAGGATGGTCAAATTTGCTTGTGGGATGTTAATGCCACTCCAAAGGATAAGACACTTGAGGTTATGCGTATATTTGATGTATGTATCGGAATTAACTATATAAGAACTACTATGCATCATGTGTTTTATGAAGTTACTTTAACTTGCCCACAAAAGTCGAAATCTCTCGCACAAAGGGCCCACACTCAGGCTCGCCATGATTGTGGAGGGGTAAATCACCGTGAGTCAGTGGCCCATTAGGATGGTGCCAACAAAGAGCCACCCCCACAAGATGGTGGACTCCCACAGTGCGACTATCAGGGCTCAATCCTACATCCTTCCCCACAAGAAGTTCCTTTTACTTGCATAATCATTGAGAGAGATTTTCCATTAATGCACTTTAATTACAATCATTAAGATAACATAATGTTGGAAGTTCCCTCATCAGACAGTGTGAGTAATCCCCAAATTCATAACAGTTAAGTTTCTCATATTGTTTTTTATGCTGATAAATAGCTCTTTTGATGATGTTCTAATAGATTGATCAGCATGGAAGTGTTGAGGATGTAGCTTGGCACACAGAGGATAAGAATTTATTTGGTTCAGTTGGAGAAGATAAACGTTTACGTATATGGGATATACGCACTCCATTTATGGGGCTTAACTATGGTGGTGCTCATAATGCTAAGGTGAGTACTTGAGTACAGAAATGGAGTCACACATATGTGTAGAGGATGGTATCTTTCATTGAGATCTTTACAAGCATATGCATTTGTGTGCAGTCTGTTTCAACTGAGTACATTGTAGAAGTACTATATTTGGAGTACATTAGGGAACTTGTTTGTTCACTCGTACTATAGTATATTTTTAGTAGACTTGTCGAGTCGGGTCAAACTAAAAACTTGTGGTTGATGAGTGGAAAACATATATTTTCTGTGTGTATTTATCTGTATTCGTGTGATAAGTAGGTAAAAGAAGATTCTGAGTTTGAACCATCTGCATAGTCCATTTGGTTGCACAGGTTTGGAAGCGCAAGCCTATGTTCTGTAACTTTTATTGTTCTATTCTTTGTGACTATATTAGTTGATTTATGTTACTTTCCTAACATTATTTCTTTGTTATTAATACAGGTTAACTCCCTGGCATTTAATCCTATTTGTGGATGGGTTGTAGCAACTGGATCTTCTGATAGGAAAGTCATATTGTTTGATCTGCGCAAGTTTTCTGCTGACCTCAATCTCCATACCTTGAAATGGCAAGCGCAGTACGTAATTGTTTATAAATGGTTTTCTCTTTCTCTCTGTAAATGCAAACAAGTATTAAAGGCTTTTCTGAACCTTGTGACAGGGAGGAGGTTGCCCATGTTAGGTGGAATCACAAGAATGCAAATATTTTGGCTTCAAGTTGTGCTGGCAGGAAGCTTGTTGTTTGGGATCTTAACAGGTATTTCTTCACTACTGTTACATGGTGCATAGCTATATCTGTGGAGAATTCAAGAACTGAATGCATTGCTGCACTACTTTTTTTTTTTTTTTTTTTTTTTACAACTTTTCTTGTAATGTTAACAGCAGTCTTTACTAATTGCACATTATAGCATTGAAAAGAGGGTAAATTTTGAATTATTACAATGCAGGTTTGGTTTTCTGTTTATATGTTAATGTTCATTTTTTTTGAGTACTATAGACTCTGTTATAATGTAGTATCTATTTATAGCTATTTTCTCAACCTACTAAAGCACAAAAAGAGTCAATACCGCCCCCACCGGGGTTGAAACCATGACCTTCTATTTGGGAGAGCCACTTCATAGTTGATTGGCATATGTTAATGTTCATTAGATAAATGAAATCATGCATTCATGCCCACAAGTTCTATTTGGGAATATGAGAGAGAGAGAGAGAGAGAGAGAGAGAGAGAGAGAGAGAGACTGTCAAAGAAGGAAATTTTGGGTGGGTAGATTTTGGATCATTTCCTGAAGTGGCCAACTTGATTTCCCCTGGCCTGGCCATATTTTTTACCTGCAATTTCTCTGTCAAAACTGTCCCCAAATTCAAAGATAGATATACAGATCAGACCTGTATGTAATTCACTCTTTTTGGGTGCCATTCAGGATTGGGCGTGCACAAACCAGTGAGGACGCTGAAGAAGGACCCCCGGAGTTGCTCTTTCTTCACGGTGGCCACTTGGATAATATTACAGACTTCTCATGGAACCCAAGCTGCGAATGGACTGTAGCCAGTGTAAGTGATGACAGGAACCTACATATATGGGAGATGAAAGAACACTTTTATGAAGGTTGAGAAGATGAGTTGATTTGCCATTCCATTCCATTCCAATTAAGTCTCCACAGCAAATGGATCTATCCCCCATAGCTTCCTTCAATTCTTCTTCAAACTTTGGTATTTTTCTCATCTATCTGTGCTAGCTACGGTTTACCTTTAATTTGCTTCCCAAAATATTATATTGTTTTTCTGGTGTATATATGTTACTATGGATTGGGCTGAGACATTCTTCTTTTGACTCCCTATGCATGCATTTGTCTAACAGTTACCAACTATTTTCTTTGCTCAAATGCCGCATTTGCACATAAATAGGTTGTGTTGTTCAGCCTTCTATTCATGTTCAATCAACAAGTTCTTATTCTTCTCCCTAAAGGTTGTATATAAGGTAGTTCTAGAATTTGTAATATATGATTTTATACTATTCTCAAAATCCATTAGTAAAAAAAAACATATTTTCATTCTTTATAATTTGGTATTCAAATTCATTATAATATAATCTTAGGTAAAACACTAGCTTCCAATAAAAAGTTGATGTAAATATTGAGGTAGATCACAACAAATTTTCAATAAAAAATAAAAATTAAAGCAATCAATGTTATCTCAATGTTACAAATGTTGAATATATAAAAAACTAATCTTCAATCATTAAATAGGTCTTTAGATTTTAAAATCAATAATTCATGAAAAATATCATAGATCCACCAAATCATAATGTTATGAAAAAAAACATATTTTTGAGTTTATTCATTTTCCTTTATAAGACCTTCCAAAAAAGGAATTTTTATTCAAATGCATTTATCCTATTTTCACAAATATAATGGAAGTGTCCCCTAAATTGGAAAGAATAGTGTAATTAGGTTTTATTATTATTAGGAGTATATATATTTAACACGCTATTATTGACGTGGTACCAATTATAAGTTAACGTGTGGTTCAGTGTTGTCAAAATTGGTCTAGACGGCCGTCTAGGCGCTAGACATTCCTAGGCCGAGGCTCAACTTTTAGTCGGTTGACTAGGCACCAAGTTGGCGCCCAACTCGGCCGAATCATTGCTCAACTCAGTTGAGTGGTTTTTTTTTTTGTTTTTTTTTTTGCTTAATCGGTTGTTCAACTTCCGTATTCTTCCATCCATGTATCTAATTAACCATCTAACATATGTAGTTCACTAATTTGTGAGATTATAAATGTCTAACAACTCACAACCCTTAGTGGGGATAATGAAAACTATATACTTGAATTACTTGACCGCCTAGGCGCTAGGCACCCACGAACGCTTGATTAGCGCCTAGCGCTTTCTGCAACATTAGACGTCATGATACTTTCATAGATTTTATCGTACATTATTTATTTTGAAAATTTACACTTTCTTTTTTAATTTATTGTAAAATTATACAACTTTTTAAATAAATAAATAAATAAATAAATAAATAAATAAATAAATAAATATATATATATATATATATATATATATATATATATATATATATATATTATTTAGTAATAAAAACAATCACCACGCTGGTTCATTTTAATGGTTGTTTCCTTTGTGATTGTAACGTCAAGGGAAGGGACAACGTAGCCTTAAAAAAAAAAAAACAAAAACAAAAACAAAAAAAAACAAAAATCTTCGATCATTAAATAGGGATTTAGATTTTTTTTTTTTTAAAAAAAAACCAAAAATTCATTAAAAATATCATGGATCCACCAAACC